AAATGTTGCACGTTTCCAAAGCGTAGTCGCTCATCTTTTTGACATCACAGATAATGCCATATGGGGTTATGGAGACGCTGTGTCTCAGTGTGTGTGTGCGTGCGTGTGTGTGTGATGGGAGGGGTTGAAAGAGGGCTTGTCCTCAGTAGTGGTTTTCACATTCTGGCTCAGTGTTGCATCATTTCCCCAACCACCCACGTTCCGGATATCCCCCACTTTCTCTCTCTTTGCTTTCTGGCCTCTGTTGAAAGGAGGAATGTGAGGAATGCAGCAGTGAATAGGCGAGGAAGCACCCAAATGACAGACCGACACAGGATTTTCCTTCTCTTTGTTTGGTCTCTGAATCCGACATTTCATTTATTACTAGTAGCAGTAGAACAAGTTTAGAAAAGACCAGATAGTTCAAACATGAAATAATGCATCTGTAGAGAAGTGTTTGCACCAAAATATACAAAAAGTATAAGGGTAAAAGGACTTGTTCCACAGATCTATTATAATACCTAATTTGACAGTTAATTCTGAAGCAGTGACGTACCAATTTTAATGTGGTAGCTGATCAAGGTTGAATTAATGTCACCTCTAATTTAGTTCAGTGGTAACTGGCCTAAGCACTGGTCACCCTCCAGATGGTCAAAGATAAATGTGAGGGTTGTAAGATGATAGGAAAGACAGTTTTATGACACAAATTTGTTGCTTCTTTTGTAATCTGTGCTGCTTTGTGACGTTTTGGGAACTTTCCCTCTTTGGGCTGCAAACAATGAAGCTGTCTGACGAGTTCAGAGGAGGTATCTCAGTCCTGATGACTGACTCACAGACACCTGAAACATGAAGACCACCCACTGCACTTTTGTAAGGGGGAAAAGGTTAATCTAAACACTTACTAAAACAATAGGTTGTGAATAAATGTAGCACAGTAAAAACTTGAATATCTCCATCTGAAATGTGGTGCAGGGGCTAGAAGCATATGATGATAAAAATCCCATACAAATGTTAAAAAGTACAGTACTTGAGTGAGCGTATTTAATGGCTAAATCCTTCAGCAAAAGACTCATTTTGGCGGGTTGCCCTTGAATGTAGCGACACAGATGGTCTATTTTTAGGGATCAAACACTCTGCAGCCAGGTGGGCACCTCACCCACAGACTAAACCGCCTCCAATTAAACCTTCGCATTAGGCAGGAATTCAGCAAGGCAGCCAGACAATGGCTACATCTCTATAGACAAGAAGTGAAGCGTGATATCAAAGCGGGTTGTCAGTGTTTCCTGTTAATTTCTTCAGGATGTGAATGCTTTTTGTTCTGTCTGAGACCCCAACGTAACTCTGAGCTCATTTAAGGCCTGTTCCTGGGAGGTTTAGTTTGTCATCTGTGGAGAATTATGTTATGAAGCCCTGACCTTTTCCACAGATTAATGTTAGCAGTGCCCTGTTTATACAACATCACCTGACTTACTACAGCTCATAGGTTTCTCTGGGGAGGAGAGAATCACTGGTCATCTTCTGACCTACTAATAGGTGCACTTTGCCCCTTCTGACTCAGTTTTTGGAGTGACGACAAGTGGTATTGGCCATTCGACATCTGTTTAGTCACAGCTGCACATCTTATAGGTCGAGAGCAGTAAAAATTAAGTTTATATCAGTGCATCTGGCAAGATCTCAGTGGTCCGTTAACACAGCCTGTGCTTGTTTCTGATGGCAACAGAGGTTGTTGAGAGCAAAGACAACTTTAAGGCTGTAAAGAAAACGTGATAAACACAAAACTGAAACCTGGCTTTAAACTCACCACAGTTCACCATTAAGCTTCAGGACATCTCCAGTGAACTGCTAGGGTATTTTTGCAGCTGTGGGAAATATTAAGGAGTGTATTTTTATCTTCTTACCGTTGTCAGTTTTCATTCAAATATCTCCCAAGTCCATTTTTATCTTTCTGGCAGGACCTCAGGACAAAGGCATGAAGCAGCTGAACATTTTTCACTCTCGCAGAACTTTTATTAACATTCCATTTTCCAGATGATACAATTTCCAAACATATAAGGATGAATAACGGGAAATGTCTGTAGAAATATGTGACATTTACAGTAACAGTGTACTCACACAAAAGTTATAACTGTAAATATGCATGACAGAATTCAAAGATGGCTTTATATGGAAGAGTGTGTGTACATGATGTCACCAGACACAAAATGTAATATTTATATTTCAAGCTACTCTGATGCAGGAAGGTGGAGACATCTCTACCATCCTTTCGGATGGTTGAGTCTTGTTGAAATTAAAAAAAAAAATAGGCACAGGAACATGTTTATATAAAAATAAATAGATGCCCAAGCGAAATGCATCTATAGCTGCTGAAAGAAATCAGTTAGTTTGTTGTGAATGTTGTGGTGTACAGAGGAACACTGAGATGCATCATTTCCTTGCATTTGATACAGTAGATGTGTAGGACTTTTGTTCCTTAGGGAGGAATCTGTAGCTATGAACTACACTACAGTTTTAGTGCCGGGCAGGGAGCAGAACGTGGGCTGTCCAGGGCTTTTGTTGAAAATGGCTTCCTGCTGCATTAGAACTTTTTCATTATTTTCACACATGTCAAGAAAAGATCAGGAATATAAAACATGTCCAGTTTTTAGGTCATAGACTGAACAAAGTTGGACACAAATACAATAAATCATTCAGCCTCTCAACTTTTTGTTCGTGACTGCTGCTTGTGATTCTTATGTTTGTTCTACTGATCCTTACCATTTATGTCAGTTATCATGCCCAGAGCAGTGAATTTATATTTACAGTTTAAGATGCTCTGTTCTTGTAGAAAATGACCTAATGTGTTTTAAAGATGAATCATCTCGGCTTCCTGCGTCTGTCAAACAGAGAGGATGAGGATGTTAGTGAGACGAGACTATGATTCCACCGTGATGTGCTGAAGATGTTGTGGCTCCTTATCAGATCTGCTGGATAAACACTGCACTGGCATCACGTTTGACCCCGTCTCCTGTCTGTCACTTTCTCTGTTTTGATGTGGGGGAAAAGTGCTCAGCCTCCTGGAAAGTCTTGGGATGAAAAGGAAAGCGAACAGTGTTGGCCAAAGTATGTGGGTTTCCAAGAACCGACAGTCTAATAATCAATCTAGAAAATCTGGATATAAGATTAGGAAGGCCCGGGCTTTCTAGGGATAAAGAGTGATAAAGGCATTCACAGTGTACAGGACCAAGACCACTACCTGCCTGAGAAACTAAATTAAAACACAGACAACAGGTTACTAAGAGTCAGATTATCAGTTGGAACAGCCACTGGTTGCTATTTTGTTTCCACTTCATGACGTCAGAGGAAGTTCATCTTCAGTCTGTGATGCATTTTCCAAGTTATTATGCAATCAAGTACTTTTTGGGGGTGGAGGGGGGTCACTTTCCCACAACATTTCCAGTTCCCTTCACTCTCCCTTTGTTTTTCCAGGCAACATCATCAAACGTGGAAGTTCCCTCTGTACGTCATAAGTTGTAATTTGAAGACAACTGAAATGATGCATTGTGGTCTCCTGAGGCTTCTGTGAGTTTTAAACTGACGTTCCTTCTATTTGGGTTCTAGCATGATTTGTCCTGCATGACCGTTGAACCCTGGTATAAAAGGGTAGCTTTGTATTTCTTCTTGTCTGTTATGTTGCAGTATGTACTTGCAATGAATACTTTACAATTACATTTACCAAGCTTTTGATACTGTGATACAACAAAACGTAACCAAGTTCTGTCGTCACAGCCCTCGAAGCTGTTTTACTGTCCTCATCTCACTGCATTTCATTTAACTACAGCTTCCCTTTAATTAATTTTTTTTCAAAGCACGAGTCACTTTCATGTTGTTTTGTAAAAAGAAAGTAAAAGGCCCAGACTTTCATTGGTTCAGTGTGTGTAAAATCTCTTGGGCTGCTCCACCCTGAGCATTGTTAGCTAAAAGCAAAGCAGTGTTTGCAGTTGTGAGTTTTTAAAATGCTGGGTGTATGACAAAGCTGCAGAAAATGCCAGTGTGCTT